CCTGGGTGGTGGTGAGCACTGGGCATTGTGGGCACTGAGCTGTTGTGAGCACTGGGCTGTTGTGAGCACTGGGCTGCTGTGAGCACTGGGCACTTTGAGCACTGGGCTGTTGTGAGCACTGGGCATTGTGAGCACTGGGCTGTTGTGAGCACTGGGCATTGTGAGCACTGGGCTGTTGTGAGCACTGGGCATTGTGAGCACTGGGCTGTTGTGAGCACTGGGCATTGTGAGCACTGGGCTGTTGTGAGCACTGGGCATTGTGAGCACTGGGCTGTTGTGAGCACTGGGCATTGTGAGCACTGGGCTGTTGTGAGCACTGGGCATTGTGAGCACTGGGCTGTTGTGAGCACTGGGCATTGTGAGCACTGGGCTGTTGTGAGCACTGGGCATTGTGAGCACTGGGCTGTTGTGAGCACTGGGCATTGTGAGCACTGGGCTGTTGTGAGCACTGGGCATTGTGAGCACTGGGCTGTTGTGAGCACTGGGCATTGTGAGCACTGGGCTGTTGTGAGCACTGGGCATTGTGAGCACTGGGCTGTTGTGAGCACTGGGCATTGTGAGCACTGGGCTGTTGTGAGCACTGGGCATTGTGAGCACTGGGCTGTTGTGAGCACTGGGCATTGTGAGCACTGGGCTGTTGTGAGCACTGGGCATTGTGAGCACTGGGCTGTTGTGAGCACTGGGCATTGTGAGCACTGGGCTGTTGTGAGCACTGGGCATTGTGAGCACTGGGCTGTTGTGAGCACTGGGCATTGTGAGCACTGGGCTGTTGTGAGCACTGGGCATTGTGAGCACTGGGCTGTTGTGAGCACTGGGCATTGTGAGCACTGGGCTGTTGTGAGCACTGGGCATTGTGAGCACTGGGCTGTTGTGAGCACTGGGCATTGTGAGCACTGGGCTGTTGTGAGCACTGGGCATTGTGAGCACTGGGCTGTTGTGAGCACTGGGCATTGTGAGCACTGGGCTGTTGTGAGCACTGGGCATTGTGAGCACTGGGCTGTTGTGAGCACTGGGCATTGTGAGCACTGGGCTGTTGTGAGCACTGGGCATTGTGAGCACTGGGCTGTTGTGAGCACTGGGCATTGTGAGCACTGGGCTGTTGTGAGCACTGGGCATTGTGAGCACTGGGCTGTTGTGAGCACTGGGCTATTGTGAGCACTGGCTGTTGTGAGCACCTAAGCTCTTGTGAGCACTGGGCAGTTGTGAGCACTGGGCATTGTGAGCACTGGGATGTTGTGAGCACTGGGGATTTTGAGCACCTGGGCTGTTGTGACCACTGGGCTATTGTGAGCACTGGGCTGTTGTGAGCACTGGGCAGTTGTGAGCACTGGGCTATTGTGAGCACTGGGCTGTTGTGAGCACTGCCTGTTGTGAGCACCTAATCTATTGTGAGCACCACATGAGATGAAATACATCAGGGCTCAGCATGCTCACCCGGGACTAGGGGTTCCCTTGCCTCTCTATTTCCTTACTGTATCCCCTGCATAGTTCATCCTGGGATGACCTTGGACATCACTGAATGGGGTGAGGCCTGATTTGCTCACAGTGATATCCCCATTGCCTAGCACAGAACAAACCTGCACGAGATATGGGGTAGATTTCATGCTGTGAATGAATGCATGGATGTATTTTCAAGATTTGTATGCAAATCTTTTAAAAAAGAATCCAATTATTAATGAACTAAAGGCCCGGTGCACGAAATTCATGCACGGGGCAGGGGGTGGGTGGTGGGTGTGTGTCCCTCAGCCCAAACTGTACCCTGTCCAATCTGGGACCCCTCTCACAATCCAGGACTGCTGGTTCCTAACTGCCTGCCTGCCTGAGTGCCCCGAACCACTCCCCTGCCAGCCCGATTGCCCCTATCTGCCCTCCCCTGAAGGCCTGGTTCCCCCCAACTCCCCTCCCTTTCAGGCCTAGTCGCCCCCAACTGCCCTTTCTTTCAGGCCTGGTTCCTCCCAACTGCCCTCCCCTGCCGGCCATCTTGAGCCCACATGGGGTTGGCCATCTTGTGTGTTGGAATGATGGCCAATTTGCATATCACTCTTTTATTAGATAGGATAAGAAGTGACTTGTTGCATTTTGGTCAGTGATGTCAGAGGGAGCCAGCCGTGCTTGCCTAGATCAGGTCGCTGACTCCCAGCAGAAACCGGGAGGGCAGCTGACACCATGTGCTTCTGACACCACTGAGTGTGAGCTTGACCCAGGGAGCCAGGGCCTCGGGGAGATGCTGAACAGCCTGCTTGCACTGGGGGCGGGCAAGTGTTGTTTGTAAACAAGCAGTAGGGACTGACCCGGACCGCCCTTGCATCCCTTTGTCTCAGCTGCTCATAGGCCTTTGGCAGAGGAAGTTCCAGCGGATGTTAAGTGTGGGTCTGGTTGTCTCCCCAGGAAATCAGTGACCCGGAGATTCTGGATCTGGTCCACAGCGCCCTGGGCAGGATGACCGTGGTCCGACAGATATTCCCGGCTGCCAAGGACAACCAGAAATGCACGAGGAACAACCACCGCATCTCCTCCCTGCTGTGCGACCCCCAGGAGGGCTACCTCCAGATGCTGCAGGTGAGTGCCATGCTGGGAATCCGGGCCAGTCTGCCCGCCAGCTCTAGTGACGGGTTTGTTTGGTGACCTGGAGGCGGGCGCAGGGCAGCCTCTCTGAGCAGCGCCGGCAGCAGCTGCGGGGTCAGCTCCCGGCCTTTAGTCCGGGCGCCTCTTGTATCTCAGCCACTTGCTGAGGGGTCAGGAGCTCTGGGCTGCTCGGGCTCCTCGGCTTCTGCTTCTGCTTCCGGGTGGTTTGTTGGGGGGCTCACCTGGCAGGACTGGGGAAGGAGCCAGGTGGTTTGTTGGGGGGCTCACCTGGCAGGGCTGGGGAAGGCGCCAGGTGGTTTGTTGGGGGGCTCAGCCCTGCCAGGTGAGGAAGGAGCCGGGGGTCCTCATTTAGAACCTGGTTTGGGTTCTCTTCTGGGAAGTCAATAATATGACGTGGCTCTTGGCTAGCAATAGGGACCGGCCAGCTCCTGTGCTGAATGCTGAGGCAGGGCCGCCAGGGCACTGGGCAGGGCCCACCCCACCCCAGCCATTCCTCCCTCAGGCCCCCACGAGGGCGCAGGTGTGGGCTGTGCCCCGCCCGAGAGGAGAGCTGGTTTCCTGTGGGTGTGGGCAGCAGGGGGCGCTGTGGACACTGTCCATGAAGAAGGCCATGCACCAGGGAACTTCATCGGAGCTGTGGTGGGTAATGTCAGGGCACTTCCATTGGGCTTGTGAGAATCGCCCAGAAATGTGTGTGTGTGTATATGTGTGTGTGTGTGTGTGTGTGTGATGCTTGCAGTCAGCATTTAGGGTTACTCACCTCTTTAGCCAGCCGGACATGAGGGTGAGGTCAAGGGGTTCAGGAGGCCGGTGTGGCTGCCAGTGAGTATCAGCCCCGCTGCAGGGCGGGGACACCGCCTGTCAGGAGAGGCACGTGGGGGATGGTTAGAGTCTCTGGAGTGGGCCGGGCACGTGTCATTTGCCAAAGCGCCGAATCCGTTCTGTAATCTGGTATTTGGTGGGGGATGCGGGGATGGGGAGAACATGCCCCAACAGATGGTAAACACTGGAAATCCTTCTCACGGAAATACAGCAGACCCCGATTTTTCCCTGGAGCGATCCCCTCTCCCTGTTCCTGCGCCGGGGCCATCAGGATGTCTGGGGTTTGGCCAGGAGAGTGGACCCCAGGCCCCTGCAGGACCAAGGCCTCGGAGCCCTGGGCACAGGGGCCAGGGAGAGGCAGGTGCTGGGCAAGAGCGTCTGTTCTGGACGCCGCTGCTCGACTCTGCTCTCCGCTGTTCTGGGGAGTGGGGAAGGGCGAGGGCCAAGCCCGGCCCTGCAGCGCAGCTCGGTGCTCATGCCTGCTCTCCAGGTGGAAGGGAGAGGAGTGGGGGATGTGGCTCAGGGGTGTGAGCCTGTCCATCCCACACCCCCACAGGGGCAGGAGCAGGGGGACTCCCTCACTCATGGAGCCAGACCTGTGGAGACCCTCTCCTTGCAGAGCTTCATCTTCTGCAAACACAAGCCAGCCTTGCCCCCGCCTCCCTGGCCCCGTCCACTCACCCAGTTCCTGCTTCGTCACCAGTCCTGCTTCCTCACACTGCACTTCTGCTGAGGAGCGGGGTGGGGGTGGGGGGCTCTTCCCAGGGAGCAAACACGCGCTTCCTCATCTCAGGGGTCAGCAGGTGCAGTGCACGCGGCTGCCAGGCAGGCTGGTGCGGAGTCCTGTGGAGGCCACACTGTAATGACCACACCAACAGGGCAAGGCCGCTCAGAGGTGTGGCCAGTGCAGTGTCAGCCTGGGACTGGGCCTCCCACCTCTCGCTGTCCTGCCGAGACCCGGCACCCCACAGAGCAGACAGGAGCGACACCCAGAGGCCCTGCAGCATGGCAGCGCCGGCACGGGCGCCGGATTGCTGGGGTCCAGCTCCAGGATGCCAGTCCTAACCAGTTCTTCCTCTGTGTTTTGGTTTCTTCCTCTGTAGACGGGTGAGAACGCACCTGCCTCTTAGGCTCATAATGAAAAGTCAATGGGAGGATGTGGGGACAGCGTGTAGGGTGAGGCCGAGCTAGTGGTGTCATGTGGAGGAGGGCTGCGGGTGGAGAGGCTGGCCTGCCTTGGGGTTTGCGGGACCCAGTGCCCCTCTCCTCTTGACCACGCGCTGCCAGAGGTCACAGCACGTGGGAGGGCAGTTCTCACCTGGGCTGCCCCTCACAGGCATCACATGCCTCCCACTGTGCGCACCCACTGTGCGCACCCACTGTGCACTCCCACTATGCACACCCAGTGCCCTGCCACCCATTGCGCAGCCTCACACGCAGCAGTGAGAGCTGCCCTTCGTGGGAGAGCCATGCTGGGCCCCTGAGTTCTTCGTCCAAGACCCTGCTCCCCAGAGGCCTCCATTAGGACGGTGGGCGGGTCTGGGCAGAATGCGGGTCGAACACCAGGTAAGCGGTCTCCGAGCCTCTTTGTGGGCCTAGGAGGGCAGTATTATTAAGGAACCTCTGCCCTGTTGCCTGTGTCCTTGTGGGTTTGTTTACTCATCCCTCCCAGCAGCCGGGGAGGCTGCAGGCTCCTCCCAGGCACAGGCCATCCCTCCCCGTCTCCCCAGCAGGCACCCCCTCCTGAGGACAGTGGAGGAGGCAGAGGAACCTCTGCTCGCCTCTGGCCCTGAGACTCCCCCAGGAGACAAGAACACGTTTAGAATAACCCACTCAGGGGCAGTAACAGGAGCCCGGGCTCCAAGCGCTGGTCTGAGGTGGGGAAGGAGGCTGGAAGGGGCGCTCCTGTCCTCTGGGCTCTGCCCCAGACGCTGCTCTGCGGAGACCAGCCAGGGCAGGAGTGTTCGCGAGGCTGGGCGGGGAACAGCTGCCTCCGCTGGCGCTGGCGGGGCTGTGGTCGGCTGTGCTGTGAAGCCTCCGGCGGGGCCATCGCACTGGAGCTGGGATCCTACTCATGGAGAGGGAGTCTCTGGAAGGAAAATGCCAGGGCTGCAGCGCGGGCAGGGCTGTCGGCTCAGGTCCCATCCCCTTTCCTTGCCCAGCGGACATGGGGCTGGGCTAGTCCACCAGTGGCCAGTGATGAAGTGGTGACCAGCCCCGGAATCCCCAGTGGCCAGGACAGCCGCCTGCAGAGGGAGCGTGTGGCGCCCGTTTAGGCCTGCAGTACCTGGCGGCGTGGGCTGCCCGGCGGCCACGGCATATTGTCCGGTAGCGCCCGTGACAGCCCATGTGTTTCCGAGGGGGACAGGCGGATGCCGGGGCGCTGGCCGGGGTTGGGAGCCGGGCCTTGCATTAGGTTTTGGCTGATGTGGTGTTAATTTTTTGGGTTGGAATTTCTCCTTTTTGCATTTTGCGATTGTCCAGGGGCTCCATAGAGGGACTCACTCTCCGTGCGGCCGAGTAAAGCCTTTCTGACGCGCAGCCCGGGGGTCTGTATCGCCGGGCCCTCTGTGCTCTCCCGGCTTCAGGCTGCCATGGCTGACCCTCCCCTCGGCAGCTCTGAGCCCCGGAGCCGCCCTGGGCCTTGGTCACTGTCCCTGCTTTTCTCCACCCTGAAGACCCTGCCGGAGCAGTGAGCAGCCAGAGAGGGCAGCGCAGGCGGGCCCCTGCCAGGCGCAGCGCACAGGCGGCCTCCCGGGCACCTGGTTGCCCTCTGGCTGCAGGTGGCATGTGTGCATTGGGAAGAAGAAACCCGCTGGTAGGGACAGCCTCCCTCCCCATCCACACCCCCTCCCCCCGGACCCAGCAGCGAGCAGAGTGCCTGCACCCGTGGCCACTGCTACCATCTGCGCCTCCTCAGCCTGCACCCCCTCTCTGGACAGCTGGGCTGGCAGCTCTCCGGCAGAGAGGCCAGGCCTGGGAGGGATTTCTTAAGCTGTGACATCTGGGCCTCAGCTTGTCCTCCCAGCGGGACGCTATGCGGGACAAGCTGCCTGTGCTGGCATCTCGGGGGGTCAGCCCCACTGCCCACCCCGGGAAGGGGGAGCTGCCCGCACAGCCTGTGGGTCCCGTGTTTGGTCATCATCAGTGTCCGCGAGAGCGGTCTTCCTTGTTCAGCCCTCAGCAAGGGGTGGGTGGGACTCAGTGGCTCGCGCAGTGTGCACTGAGCACATGCTGTGTCCACGCACCGCGCCTGGCCTGGGCAGGCTGGGCCGAAGCTGCCAGACCCTGTGCTCATCTCACCAGGCGCAGTGGCTCCCACAGCCCCAGCTCTGCCAGCACCTGGAGCGAGGCCCAGGCCGGGGCAGCCCCGCCCGCTCCTGGTTCTGGCTCTGCCTCCTCTGGCTTGGCTCCCTCTGGCCTCTGGACCGGGCCCAGGCCCTTGGCTTGGCGTCCGGGTCTCTTGTCTGCCACACCGTGGCCTCTCTGCTCTGTCTACTCTCGCCTGTCGCTTTGTGCTGCGGTGTCCTGACGGCCAGCGCCCGGGGCTGAGGGTTTGAGTAGTGACAGCATGGGCTCTGCTTGTCCGTCCTTTGCCAAGACGCCCTGTGCTGCGCCTTCCCTGGATGGAGGGGAAGGCAAGGGCTCCTAGAGGGGTGTCCCTGCAGCTGCAGGGAGCCCTCTCCTCGCAGGCGGCTCCTGGTGCAGGGGCACGGCGCGACCCGCCGGGACTCTGGTCTCTGCCTGCGCACCCACCCGGGCCCGGCTCCCCTGCCGGACAGAAGGCCTCTCATTTTGCATTCTATTTATATACTGAGCCAGCCAGAAGCCGCCTTTCTGCTGCCTGCTCTTGAGTTTTCTCCCAAAGGTCCCTTCTCTGGACAGCAGGCCGTGAGGGTGGCGCTCTGTCCTTTGCATCCCCACCAGTGAGCCCAGTGGGTCGAGGGTTGCCTGCATGAGGACACTGAGGTGGGGGAGCAGGGAGGGGCCCAGGCGCCACAGTGTCTGCGTCCTCTGAGGCAGAGGCAGTGAGGCAGCTCAGGGAGCAGGGATGGAGCGGCCGCATGGGGTCAGGAGGGCACTCTGAGTGGCTGTAAATGAGAAGCAAACTGTTGTTTGAACGAAGGCGGTTCCCTCCCAAGTCACAGGCGGAGCAACAGGTCTTTTTTCTGCTGTCTGTATTTTCTCTTCCTGGGAACCACGTTCAAGTGTGCCTTCCTATCGGGAGATCTCCCATCCATCCGTCCATCCATCCATCCAGCTCCTCAGCTCCCACACACGCACTCGCCCACCACACTCATTCAGCTGTTCATCCATCCGTCCATCCATCCATCCAGCTCCTCAGCTCCCCAGCTCCTCCCCACACACACGCACTCGCCCATCACACTCACTCAGCTGTTCATCCTTCCATCCATCCATCCACCAAACATCCAGCCATCAAGCACACATTAAGCACCAGCCGTGCCCGTGGTTGGGGCTGGTGGTAGAGATAGTGAAAGTGTGGAGGAGACATCTAGGACAGTGGAGAGTCCCCGCTGCTCAGGAAGCTCGGCGAGGGGTGGGGGGAGCGGGCAGGGCAGTGCGGTGTGGGCAGTGTCCCCAGCGGAGACCTGGGAGGCCCAGGAGCTTTCTGAGTCACATCCTGTGTTTTCCTTTCCTCGCAGGCCTCTCTGCATCCTCACATCTGATAAGTACCCAGTTCATTGTGAGTTAGGATGTGGAGAGAGAGGGAGTCCCAGCGGGTGCTGGTCTGGCCACAGCGGCGGGCGGTGTTGCCCTGTGTGTGTGTGTGTGTGTGTGTGTGTATGTGTATGTGTGCATGTGTGTGAGTGTGTGTGTAAGTGTATGTGTGAGTGTGTATGTGTATATGTGTGTGAGTGTATGTGTATGTGTGAGTGTATATGTGTGTGTATGTGTGTGTAAGTGTATGTGTGTGTATGTGTGTATATGTGTGAGTGTGTGAGTGTATGTGTGTGTAAGTGTATGTGTGAGTGTGTGTATGTGTATGTGTGTGTATGTGTGTGAGTGCATTGGTCTGTGTAACTGTGTGTATGTGTGAGTGTGTATATGTGTATGTGTGTGTATGTGTGTGAGTGCATGTATGTCATGTATGTGTATATATGTGTGTGTGTGAATGGGTGTGTATGTGTGTGTGTGTGAGTGGGTGTGTATGTGTGTGTGACTGTGTGTGACTGTATGTGTGTGTGTGAGTACATGTATGTGTGTGTGTATGTGTATGTGTATGTGTGTGTGTGTGACTGTGTGTGTGTGAAAGTGTGTATATGTGCGTGTGTGAGTGTGTGTGTGGTGGATGAGTGTGGACGTGAGTCCAGGGCCTGAGTGAAGAGCGGCGGCTGTGAGTGGGTGGCTGGGAGAGCCGTGAATGTCTGGAGTAGAGAAATCCTCACATCATCAAGGACTCTCAGCTTTGAGTTATCCTTTCAGAAAATAAATAAAATAAAACCAGCCCCTCTGAGAGGCTTGCAGTCTCTTCTGCAGCCTCTCCTCCTGGCTCTGTGCCCCCAGGGGCGGCGCCCGCCAGCAGTGATGCTGCAGCCAGAGGACCCTGAGCGCGGCTGCGCGCTTCTCTCCCAGGAGGCTGCCCGGGCTGGCGGGGCCAGGGCTCTGTCCTGGTTCCTGTAGCACAGAGGGGGGCCCGGGGGCAGGCACGTCTGCTGGCAGGCAGGCCCCTGCGCCCTGCAGCCCCAAAAAGGTCCCAGGTGCCCACGTGCCTGCTTCCCCTTGGCCTGCGGTTCTGGTCAAGTCAGCAGGTGGTTGGTTACCCTGGCCCCCTCCTGCCCCATGGCGCCCTCCTGCCCCACGGGTCCCTCCTGCCCCATGGCCCCCTTCCTGCCCCATGGCCCCCCTCCTGGCCCATGGCCCCCCTCCTGCCCCACGGGTCCCTCCTGTCCATCCTTCATCTGTTTCTCACCCCAACAGCATGGAAAGGTGCCAGGAGCACAGTCTCTGTGGCCCACATGGCTGTGCCCCCCACAAGTTCACGGGCTGAAGCAGACAGCGCCAGGCTCGGCAGGAGTGGGCAGGGCACAGGGACGCACCGGCGGCATCAGGTGGCGGCAGGCGTGATGGACAGGGTGTTTGGTGTCCCGCTGCAGCTCCCTGGCCCACGTCTGCTTTCACCGTGCAGGACGGTTCCCATCACAGGCCCTTGTCTGGGACTGTGTTTTGGGGGTACCCAGTGTATGCAGGCTGAGAACAAGGCAGGGAGGAGTTGGGGTGCAAGGGGAATTCTGGGGCATGATGGGGGAGGCTGGGAGGCAGCAGGGCTCCTCCTGAAGCCCAGGAGGGCCTTGGCAGGAGGGGCAACACCTGAGAGCAGGGCTGCGCTCTGCCCACGGCAGCTCCCACTGGGCCCCCAAAGGCAGCTGCTGGTTTCGGCTCACCCGGGTCAGGGCTCTCAGTCGTGGTGGGAGGAGAGTGATCGGCAGGCCTGGCCCAGCCTGGAGCCCGCTGTGGTTCAGCTCTTGGCGCACCCCCCTCGCCCAGCGCTCCTAGGGCTGTGCCACCGCTGTCTCCTCCAGGACCGGCTGTACTGGGCACAGCTCAGCAGAGGTCACCTTCTCAGAGTCGCAAGTCCCCAAGGCATCCCCCTACTGGCAGCGAAGCCACTGTGTCTGGAATGTCCATCACCACAGCACAGTCGCTCAGGCCGCCACCCCCAGCCCAGGGACCAAGGCAGGAGAGTGGTTTCTGGGCCTGGCTCCTCCAGTGGAGTCCTTCTCCTGAGGTCACCTGTGTTCTTCCTCCTTAGCGCCTGATGGGCTCAGCAGGCCCAGTCCCTGCCTTCCTCTGGGGCTCCGCCCTGCGCTGCGCGAGTTGCAGACACTGGAGCTGTCCTCAGGCCTTCCCACCGCTCGGCCAGCTGTGGCCACAGGCGAATGCAGTGCTGCCTGTTCTGTGGTGGAAGTTTTACTGCCACCCCCTAGTCTGTGTATCTGCTCTGGCTCCTTGGTTCTTCATCAGAAATCTGGGCAGTCCCTCCCGCCCGGTCCTGCTCCTCTGCACAGCCCTGCCCTGGCATCATGCTGGCCTCCCCTTAGAGGCCTCCCCTCTCCCCTCTGAATCCTTAGCCCGAGCCTGTGCCCCTCCCCTTTCTGCTTTGATTGGGAGACTGCACAGGGCGCTGATCCCTCTGGTTCTCTGGTTGATCAGCTCGAGTTCCTGCCACGGGGCGAGTCAATCTGTCCAGCCCACCTGGGTTGTGAGGGTAAACCTGGGGCCAGAGGGTCGCAGCACAGAGCCTGGGTCCCACTCGCAGGGTGGCACCCTGGGCCACCCAGCCTCCACTGGTTCTCCCTCTGTGGAAACGCACCGTGGCGAAGGTGTCCCTGCCTTGTCTTCGCAGATCTCCAACCTCTACCTGTACGACAGCGTGCTGATGCTGGCCAACGCCTTCCACAGGAAGCTGGAGGACAGGAAGTGGCACAGCATGGCCAGCCTCAACTGCATCCGCAAGTCCACCAAGCCATGGAACGGCGGGCGGTCCATGCTGGACACGATAAAAAAGGTGTGTGAGACGGACACCCTCCTGGGCCGGGGCCCACCGCAGGCCCTCCCCACCCCACCTGCCTCCTCCAGGGGGGCCTGGCACGGAGTTCTTGCAGGGAGGCCCTGCCCAGGCCTCTCCTTGCCACGCTTCTGGCCCCAGCATTTGAGGAGGAGTGAGCGAGGGTTCCTGGCTGTGTGTTATTACTGTTGTCTCTGTTGTCATAAGGAGATTGGAGAGGCTAAGTAATTTGCTGAGTCACAAAGACAGCAGTCTCCTTCTCCACAGCTTCTCTGACAGCAGTTTCACTTACCTGTGGCCAACGAATGTTAGAAAGTATTACATGGAAAGTTCCAAAAATACGTCACTTATACATTGTAAGTCGCACGTCCTTCTGAGCACCTGCTTCATCTCCTCACATAGGCATTGTAGCATCTCACATTGTCACGTGAAGAGGAGGTTCGTGCAGTAAAATAAGGTACTTTGAGAGAGAGACCACCTTTCCATACTTTATTGCGGTATACTTGTGTTGTTATAATTGTTCTACTTACTATGGTTATGGCTGTTAGTCTCTTACTGTGACTCATTTATCAATTAAACTTTCTCATGGGTATGGGGGTTACGAAAGAACATGGTATATTAGAGTTCGGTGCTATCCAGGGCTTTGGGCATCACTGGGATCTGGACCGCACTGCTGTGGACAGGAGCTGCTCTCAGGAGACGGGGGAGCAGCTGCCTTGCCCATGTGTGCTGTCTGTGAGAGAGGACGACTCAGTGGCAGCACATGTGCTGATCAGCCAAGACCTCTGCTGTGTGGTGTGCGTATGTACTAGTATATGTGCATACACACGTGTGTGCAGGTGCGTTCATCTGGGTGTGTCTATGTGTGTGCATGTCTGTATGTGTATGCATGTGTGCACAGATGCATGTGAACATATGCACACGTGGACATCTGGATGTGTGTACACACGTGTATGTGGTTGTGCTAGCCTGGTATGTAGGTGTGTGCGTGCATGTGTGCCCACAGGTGGGGACATGCTCACTGAGGTGTGTGCCAGTGTGCATGTGCAGGTTCTCTGCACTTGGTGGTGAATGCTGAGCAGCACCCCCGGTGGAAGGCTGGGTTCGAAGAGAACTGGGTAAGCCACAGGAGGCTGGGTAGAGTGGACTGGCTTTGAGAGGCTTCAGAAGAGCATGCAAGGACATCTCCAGTGCTGGGAGCTGTAATCAGGAGCAGCGAGCACTGTTTGCTACAGCGACTGGGGGCCCTCTTGGGCCAGCTCGGCCTCTGGGTCCTTCCCAGCTCACCGTCTAGGGGAGGTCATGTCTGGATGAGAGCCCTTCCCAGACTTGAAGAAAGAAGGGTCTTACCACAGGGCAGCCCAGCCTCTGTCTGCTCGTACAGAGCCCACTGGGCCACGGGAGAGGCACTGGGCACGCACCCACTGTGCCGCCTGCAGTCACCATGCTGTGCAGTTTCTCTGTGTTCCTGGAGGACCTGATGGGATCTAGTTACTCCAGGCCAAAGCGGGAGATGAGAGGTGTCCTGCTATGTCGCACAGGTGGCCACACTCAGGCCTGAGCTGGGCTCGGCCTCACCCTGGTGCTGGCTGCCCTGCCGCTCCCACCCTGTGTCTGACAAGTGTGACTGCGTGTGTGCTCTCTTGACCTTAGATGTCCCACATGGTTCAAGCTGAGTGAGCCCATGGGGCAGGGTGTAGGGGCAGACTGTAAGCTCCAGGGGGTAGGGGACACGGCCAGCACCGCGTGTGGCACAGGCAGGCCCTGTAATCCTGCTGACTGCATCAGTGACAGGCGCAGGCGTGAGGGGCTCCCCGTGAGCCAGGGCCTGGGCAGGGCTGGCCACTGGGAGGCCCAGGACTGCAGGCGTGCCCCCAGACCTTGCTGACTCGCTTCTCGGTGACCACTTTTGTCTTGCTTGCCATGGGGTCCCCTCCCCTGCCCTCCCTGTCCATGTCTGCCTAACTCTCCGATGGTTTGTCCTTCTCTCTGCAGGGTCACATCACCGGCCTCACAGGGGTGATGGAGTTTCGGGAGGATCGCTCGAACCCCTACGTCCAGTTTGAAATCCTCGGCACGACCTACAGCGAGACCTTTGGCAAAGACATGCGTAAGGTGAGCTGCAGGGCGCCACGGCCCCTCTTCCCGCCGCGGTGGCCCAGGCCCTGTGTGGTGCTCATGGCACTGTGGGCAGGAGGCTGGGACTGTCAACCAGAAAGTGCCGAAGTGCTGCTTGTGTAGTCTCAGCGCAGTGGGGCCTGGAGGCCAGCCTGCTGCCCGGTGAGGCGGGAGGGCCAGCCTGGTGAGGCGGGAGGGTCAGCCTGCAGCCCTGGGTGAGGCGGGAGGGTCAGCCTGAGATCCTGGGTGAGGCGGGAGGGCCAGACTGCGGTCCTGGGTGAGGCGGGAGGGTCAGACTGTGGTCCTGGGTGAGGCGGGAGGGTCAATGCATTTTCCCAGAGCCCCTGGGATCAGCCAAACCGCAGGGCAGGTGTGACTGTGGCTGAGGCAGGAGAGAGGCACAGCCAGAGAGTGTTCTCAGTCCAGGAGTGGACAAGGCCGTGAGCAGACAGCGAGGCAGGAGGAGGTGTGGAGCGGGCGTGCTGGGCCCCCTGTAGGGAGATATGAGGGGCATGCGGGCTCATAACTCGGGGTTTATCAGTTTTATTTGGTGCTCATGCAAGTGGCAGGCCTGGGTTTTCCGTGACCCTTTCCTTCTCTTGTGGGGATTTTTAGGATGGAGGACGGGGGCAGGCTGTTGCCCTGGGTTGGAATCCCCAAAGTTAAGCCACAATTGGAAGCACTCACGATGTGAAGGAGCCACAGACTCATCTAACCAGCATTAAAGCCTGGCATGCACTTGGCACGGATGCACATCCATTCACCCACACACACACACACACACACACACACACACACAGAGTCACACACAGCCATGCCCACACACAGAGCTACACACATGCATACACAGTCACACACAGAGCCACACACAGCACACACACACACAGTCGCACAGAGTCACAGCCACACACACACAGAGCCACACACATGCATACACAGTCACACACATGTGTGCACTCACAGTCACACACTCTGTGCACTTGAGAGAAAGATGTCTCTACCAATGACCGTTCCGGGAGGGGAAGCGTGGTGCACCCTCAGCAGGACGAGGCGGAGCTGGCTGAGGGCAGTGCAGGGGCAGCCAGGGTCCTCTGATGGGCGCTGAGACTGGTGAGGGGGACCAGCCGGAGGACGGTGTGTGTGGTGCCGGGTGTGAGTCTGGTGGCACTGAGGAGCAGCCCTCAGGCACAGCGTGGGCAGGACTGTCCCCTGGGAGCTGAGGGTCCGTGTGCTATGGGGCGGGACTGCCAGCTCATCTGTGACGGAAGGTTAGGGTCACGGTTGGTCGTAAAGATGACAGCAGGCTCAGTGACTGGCTGAGAGGCAGGGTGACCCACGTGGTTTGAAGACATTGGCACTCAAAGGCTTGTGTGTGGCATCACAGAGGGTGGACGGTGACGGTGTGACACACTGGGCCAGGTGTGCCCTGTCATGTCCAGGGTGTCGGATGCCTGTGGGGGATGCCCGAGCTGTGAGGCTGGTGGAGGGCTGGGGCTGGGCGGTCCGCATGGCCTGGGCCATTCGTGACCACAGTGGGAACGGTCTTTGTTGGGGTTCCCAGCTGGTCAGGGAACCAGGGCTGGGCCCTTCAGTCACGTGTGGGAGGCCCCTGCCAAGTGCCTGTAGGTCCTTGCCGGCATGCCTCGGGGCTCCTCATGGTGATGACAGGCAGGCTGAGTGCTGGCTCCTGGGCTGCCACCCCCCTTCAGATCAGCTCACCCCCAGCGTCCCACAGTGGGTGGGAATGTTGGCTGGGGGACCTTTGCCCCATCTCTGCAGCTGATGAGGGCCATGCTGGCCACTCCACGGGCCTGAAAGAGGGGAGGCAGCACCCTCCACTTCCTGCTTCAGGTGCTTGGGCCTCTGGTTGCCACGGCAACGCTCCTCCAACACCCTGAGCTGCGCAGGGAGCAGGATATGAGTGAGCTGGAGAGAAGCTGATTTTCAAGTGGGCTTTATTCTAAGACGCATCCTTTTGTCATTTAAAATCTGCCCTAATAACTGCATAGCCCAGTTGTTACCTGTCTGCCTGGCAGCTTAACCCTGCTAAGGAGATGCTAAGGAGAGGTTATCTGGGAAGCAGGAGTGGGTTTATCCAGCAAATGTCTGTGATTCAGCCCGGATTTCATTGGAGTGAGGGCTGGCGGTTTCAGGATGGAGCGAGGAGAGGGCCTGGGGCAGAGCATGTCCCTGCTAAAGGTCATCATTTGAAGGCAGGCTGAGCCCGCCCCGGTGGCTCAGTTGTTGAGTGTCGACCTATGAACCAGAAGGTCATGTTGATTCTTGGTCAGGGCACATGCCCAGGTTGCGGGATTGATCCCCAATGTGGGGCATGCAGGAGGCAGCCAATCCATGATTCTCTCTCATCATGATGTTTTTATCTGTCTTCCTTCCTCTCTGAGGTCAACAAAAATATATTTATAAATAAGTACATACATACATGAAGGCAGGCTGAGCGGGCTTCTTGTAGGAGGTGGGGCTGAGGCATAGGCTGGGATATTGGGGTCGCATACAAATAAAGTGGGGGGCAGCAGGTTTGAGGGTGGGATTAGGGTCCTGAGGCACAGAAAGGCAGAGGAGGTGGGGCCACAGCCAGGAGCCCCTCTGGGCACCTGCTGTGGTGCAGGGGAGCTACTGGGGGAGCTGTGTGGGACAGGTGAGGGGAGCTGTGTGGGGAGCTGTGTGGGACAGGGAGGGGAGCTGTGTGGGGAGCTGTGTGGGGAGCTGTGAGGGGAGCTGTGTGGGAGAGGTGAGGGGACAGGTGAGGGGAGCTGTGTGGGAGAGGTGAGGGGAGAGGTGAGGGGAGCTGTGTGGGGAGCTGTGTGGGGAGCTATGTGGGGAGCTAGCGGTCTGGGGAGCGGTGTGGGGAGCTGTGTGGGGAGAGGTGAGGGGAGCTGTGTGGGGAGCGGTGTGGGGAGCGGTCTGGGGAGCGGTGTGGGGAGCTGTGTGGGACAGGCGAGGGGAGTGGTGAGGGGAGCTGTGTGTGACAGGCGAGGGGAGAGGTGAGGGGAGCTGTGTGGGGAGCGGTGTGGGACAGACAAGGGGACAGGCTAGGGGAGCGGTGTGGGGAGCAGTGTGGGGAGTCTTAGGTTTTACGCCGCTGCAAGGAAAAACCGTGAGTCCAAACAGAGACCAGATCAAACAGGCTTTATTGGGAGCACACAGGTGGGTTCACCGGCTCAGAGAGGGGAGCAGGAGAAGCCTCGCCAAACCTGGGCAGGGGCAAGGTTTTATATTTTTCTGAGGCAATTGTTGCTGGCCGAAACTGGTGGCAGTCCGGGCTTTCCAGGGTCAGGTGAAACCTGCAGTCTGTCCTGCGGTTTGGTCATTGTTCGGGAGCCGATTGTCCCGCAGGGATTTTCCACTGGGGTGGGGTGGTTTTCAGATGTCAGTGTGGACAGGTCAGCTTCTCACCGGCCCAAGAGAGGGAGGGGGTCCTTTCTCCCCCGGGGCAGGGTGCCAGCGAATACCAGACAGGGAGCGGTGTGGGACAGGCGAGGGGAGAGGTGAGGGGAGCTGTGTGTGACAGGCGAGGGGAGTGGTGAGGGGAGCTGTGTGTGACAGGCGAGGGGAGAGGTGAGGGGAGCATTGTGGGGAGCGGCGAGGGGAGCGTTGTGGGGAGCAGTGTGGGGA